TAAATAGCCCTTGAATAGCAATAGAGTTATTTCCTAGGGATTTTTTTTTTTTTTTTTTTTAATATTATTTGTTTAAGTTCCTCTGCTAGTAATGGTAATTAGCATGCTAATTTTTTAATAAGGAGTGATGGTCATGGGAAGGAACTCTTAAACTACAAAAATAAAGAAATAATATATAAAAAAAACCACTACCAAAAACAAGCAAAACTTGTGGAACCTGATGCAGTGGGAAATATACATATTGGTTTAGAACTAAGTCTTACTAGTTACTCTGCAGGTACTATATTCTGATTTGTGGATATGCCTTTTGTGCAAGCATTATCACAAAATTTATTTCTTAAAAGCAATTTTCTTTATGGAAACAATTTTCCTATTTCTCTGAACAGATACTTTGCACATACAATATATGTAATACTAAAATTATTCTGTAAGAAGGCTGTCACATACTTTCTGTTTTCATGAAATTTGGAAGAAATAAAAGTACCCCAAATGTACCTGTAACTTCTATTTTCAAATATAATAGCTCTATCTTTTCCTGAATGTTTCTTTGCTACGTACATATTTTTCTGAACTTCTGCAGTAAGATATACGGATCCCCATGCAATATTTTGGTGTATTTTTCTTTAAGAATATTTTCTCTTTATTACTTTTTAATAATTGCTTTCTGAATCTTTAAGCATTCTTCAATGAGATAATGTATTTGTGAGGCTATCATTGTTTTCTTCTCTTGCAAATGAAACTGATTTACATTATGATTGTTGGTTTGTATAAAAGATGTGCTTATTATGATAATACCTACTTATCTACTACTTTCCATCTGAAGATCTCAAGTGGTTTACAAAGAAAATGAATATCATTACCCCTGTTTTACATATTTCTGTAGGAACTATTTAGCTCCAGAAAATTGCTTAAAGGACATTTTTCGATTGCTTCTTAGAAGGATGACAAAGAGAAAGAAGAGCAGAAGAATGAATAACAAATGTACTCTTCTGACAGGCTGAACTGGAATTTTTTTCAATAGGACTTGGAAAGCCTCTCAGAAATGATGGAGAGTAGTTTAAAATCAAAGGATTTCTAATTTACATATTGAAACAGCATCTAAGAATATTTTGTAAGAAAACAAACAGAACCACTGAAAACAAACAAATATAGGAATATAGACAGATTTAACTGATTAGATTTCTTACACCATGCATGAGGTCATTATGAACCATTTTGAAATTGATCTCCATGAATTTAGCTCAAAAAAAGTTGTGGGTTTTTTTTAAAAACATACATGATTATAGCATGCAAATAAATGAAGGTAAGGAAAAATCCGTTTTCTCAGCTTCTGCTCTCTCTGCCCAGTTTTTACGAAGTGGAATGAAAGACACTAGGAGTATTTTTCTTAGCATGTAAAATAGAAAAATAATTTAAAATAATGAATCATGTCATTTAACTCTCATTAAATGCTAACAAGATTCTAATTGACTTAATGCATAGGACTGTGATAAAATAAGAATAGTCAGACAAAGTGCTGAATTTTGCCATTTATCAGCACTCCTGTTGCCCTTAATTACCATAGCTAACATGTCTGAACATGGGAAACAGAACAATAGATGTTTTTCCTACTGCATGATTTTTGACACTGCTGCAATAATAGAGGGGATTTCATTTGAGGAAAACAGCCTGATATGAATTTTAAGAGCTAGTTCCTCAAGTTCTGACTACTTCAACTGTAATATTTACAGTTATATTTGTACCTTTATGTATTGAATTTTCAGTTCCTTAGAACCTTAGCTCTGTGTAACAGGACTGAGACCATGCATGTATAGAAGCTAAATTGCAAACAGGTTTCTGTGTTGCTTCCTGTGAGAAATTTAAACTTTCAGTTGCACTGTTACAAAAATATTTTTCTTTTAAAATAATGTCAGAGAAATAATATATGTTATATAATAATATGTAATATGTAATAATAATGAACTTGAATGCTGTATTTAAGCTTCTTTATTTACCAAGCATCTTGTGAAGAGGAAAAATGAAATGTGCAGGTATGCCAAAGAGCAACTGTCTAATTGTTTTGATTCCATTAAAGTTTTTGCCACAAAGAGCTTCTTAATAAATTATATGAGGAGAAAGATACTAGTACTTTACTTCAGCATTAATTTTAGTTAAGTGTTTATAGATTGTTTTGGATCTAGGCTTTCACTCCAGATGTCTATCCACAATTTGTGTATATAAAATTGCAAAAACAAGCAAAAGCATCATGAAATTATATTTCAGTCAAAGCCAAACATTTATCAAGATGCATAAACTGAATAATATTTGCTATTGAGAAATACCACAGAAATGCTTGTAAAACATCTAAAGTAAGCAACACCAAGTACTGCCTTATGAAAGTTAGGAACTTATGAAGATTATGACAGGAAATTTTAAGGACTAATCTCTAAAGCCATATAACACATACATGTAAAAAAATAAATAAAGGCAAGAAATGTCCTAATATAGATCAGTAAAATATTCTACATAAGACAACATTTTATGATGTTATACAGTATTTATCAGTGCTCCCTTTTTTTGGTCTCTTTTAGAATTTCAATGGTTATTTTTAAGAACCATTAACTACAAATTGAGTTCAGAAAGCTTACCAATATTAGTCCTGTTCTTGTGTTGAAAATCATGCTGTCATAGGCTGTTGAAATTCTGAGATAAGCTTTTAACAGTAAAAAAAGATGCTACTATGGAACTTTTCATTTTCTCTTTTTCATCTACAAATAAATTTGTAATGAGTTTATTGTAGGCTTTGTTTTACAGTGAAAGTGCATAAGATTCTTATTAAAAGTTAAGCAAAATTTCAAAAAGGAAAATAAAGTGTAAAAACATAACTGCAAAAGAGTACATGCAGCAGAAACTGCTTAAGAAAATCATCTTTCACCACAGTGGGAAAAAGCTGAGTTTTCCAGAAAGCAAATATTTGCTTTCCTGTTTCCAATATGCAAGGGAAGAGATACGGTTTATTGGAAAAGGTTTTGTAAACATTTTTATTTTCTTCCCTGGTATTTAAATAGAATTAGCTCAATAAAAAATATTCTCTTATGCTTATCAGAGCCTTATACTGCCCTTTTCATTCATGAAACTCTACTAGTTAAATTTACATGACTTTCTAGATTATTATCATACTATACCGATTATTTTATGGTTTTAGTTTCATTCTTACAGTTAACTATCTCAATGGAGAATAAAATACCAGTGTAAAACATCAGTTGTCCAAGGCTGTTCTTTTTTTTTTTTTTTTTAATGTGAAGCTGTCTTAAATCACATTATTTGAAGCCAAATTAAAATAAAGTGTGAATTAATTCATCACATCACAAGTAAACAACACAGACAGAAGCAAGCTGTATGGTGAAGGAATCATAGAATTATAGAAGGGTTTGGGTTGGAAGGGACCTTTAAGATCATCTAGTTTCAAACCCCTGCTACAGGCAGGGACACTTCGCACTAGACCTGCGTGTTCAAAACCCCAGCCTTGAATATTTCCAGGAAGGGGATCATTCAAGCATGCTGCCTTGCAATAGAAGATTACACCAGAAAATTGTTAGATATCCATATACGTTTTACATATGTTTGTGTCTCTCTGGTCTTGGTTGATTGCATTAGACAATCTTCACTGCGAAGTCTTGGATGATAAAAAGGAGGGGATAATCCTTGCACCCAGAAACCATTCTGTGGCTCTTCTTTTGTCGAGGATTTGTCATGCACTTTATTAGCTTTATAATCTTTCTACACGTGAGCAAACTTTTCTTTGTTATTACTAGATGTCTTCTCTTATGTTTAACTGTTTTGTAAACAACTCTTTTCTTAATGTAATCTAAAAGTCTAGTCCCTTCTGTCTCACTTTGATTATCAGAGCAAGAGGAGAATCTTTGGTATATGTTTACCCGACGTGAGATTAAAAAACAACGGTTCAGATGTCGTCCACTTTATTACAAACCCTAATCACTTAGAAAGATGGGGAAGAGAAACCGGCAACTGTTACGAATTAGGGTGGTGGGAAAGGGAAAGCTGGTGATAGGAAAGATAGGAAAGAAGCAAGAATTACGAAAAGCAGGGACAGTCGCCACCAAGATCCAGCAGCATCCCATTGCATGCCGTTCCAAGGATCTGAGGCCAATACAGGAGTAAAAGCGCATGGGAGAGCAGCAGCCAGCGTGGCCAGCCTTAGGCAGCAAGCAGGTTCAGCAACAGTCTAAGAGAAACAGGCAGGTCTCACCTAGCAATCCCAGGAGAGTCTGTCACCAGGCAGATATCATGTCATGAGGCATCTGAATTCAGACACCTATCCTCTTGGTTGCAGGTCCCTTTTTTATCTTTCTTCTTCTGTCAGCATGGCATTCCTTGACACTTTGGTAAGATTCATGTGCAAGCACTCCTAACCACTTAGGTCATGCACAGCACCCTTGAGCATGCAGGTATGGTTATATCCCTCGAAATGACCCATACAAAAGACTGCTTATCAGCCATTAAGCCGCTACTCATCTCTCTCACTGCTTGACCCTGGTCTGCAAATTTTCAGACAAAACATTTCTCCAACTTTGACAAGGACTTGCCTGGACTTTTCCATCTGCTCCTCAGCAAGCAAGAAGACAAAGTTGCAAAAATTATCTCTTACACCTTCCTTTCTTGGCTATTCTGTCCCAGGAATAAATCTTTTGCTGTCCTTGCACTGCATCAATCTGTATATTAAAAACACATGACATAAATATCTAAACAGGTTAATTGTGTGTGTCTCATTATGGGCTCCTAGATGAGACTAGACATGCAAATAATTAATCACTCTGGGGTGAAAGTCAATTATCTCACTGATGTTCCTTTCAGATTGCCCTCCAAACTAATTAGTGTTCAGTAGATAGTTTTCTCCAATTAAATTTCTGGATCAAAAAGAACTTGGGAAATTTGGAAGCTAAGATGAACACAGAGAACAGTTAATTGGAAAAAGAATCATTGGTTTTATAAATGTACACACACACACATAAAAAAAAAAAAAAAAAAAAAAAAAAAAAAAAAAAAAAAAAAAAAAAAAAAAAAAAAAAAGAAAAAGAACATAACATGACTTTAATGGCAGGCCAGAACTTTTTCTGCAGAAGCATATGAAACAACTGAGGTTACAGTCTGATATTGCATGGTTCCAGTATATGACCATATTATGCCCTTAATATCTTTGCATGTGGAAGGGCCAACAGATTTGCTTGATTCATTTAGCAGCTGTATCACAGGAAGAATCAGAGCTCTTCAAAATCAGACCTATATGATCTTTGTTAGAAGATCAATTCTGATTGGTTTACTTTTTGTGTCTTTTGCCTCTGAGGATTAACTATGCACTGAATTTATTTGAATCTCCCTGTTTTGAGCTTTGACCCACCTACAGTAAAATCTTCACTGACCCTGCACAGCTTTCCTTTCAAAGAAGATTCCTTTACCTTCCTGTCCAGGAAACTAACTATGTAGTACTATGACTGTTCTCCTCTGTGTTCTGAATTCCAAATTCTCCAGCTTTCTCCTGTCTACAGCTATCCTAGACAATTAAACAGGTGCAGAACCTGGGCTTGTGCACTGGCACAGTCACGTGTGCTATTAAATAGTAAAATATTATCCAATCTTAGCTTGATGCTATCCAATACTTTTTCAAAGACTAAAAAGAATTATAAGTCCTCTTTTCTGACTGTTGTTTACATTCATCTTAATCCCAAATTTTCAACAAGGGCAAGAGAAGCATTGACCCTGCTGGGCAGAGCCATTCATCATTATCTTCCCTTGAACCACCAGTAGGTCTTCTATCAAGTCAAGAGGTTTGATTATATCAACTATTTCCATCTTCTTTAATGCAGAGTCTATAAAATTGAACCGAGAAATAGAAGTCTAATAAAGATTTAAAAGAAACAGTCCAAGCAGATTCCTCAGTTTATACATTTTTATCTCCCAAGTAGTCTTTTCAGCACCTCTAAATCCTTGCACTTTTATGGGAAGTAAAATCATGATATTGAAGCTTTTACAGTTGAATAGCTAAAATGTTGTTGGTATTTTAAGAGAAACTGCATTTTAAACATATTTCAACCTGTCATAAGCTAGTTCATGAATTGCTGCAATTCACTAAAGTGGCTTATGATTTATTGAGTTTTGTACTGATTGAAACTATGTTTCTACATATGTGCACACTTAGATACACCATATTATAATTGTACATTTTGTAATAAGAAATTGAGATTTTACAGGTTGATGACTTTTGTTGCCGAGGGAAATTGAATATAAGTGTTTGTCTAATGAATATAAAATAATTAATCCAATTACACAGGTGAGACAAAATATGTCTCAGATGTTTTCAGATATTTGAAAAGTTTGTTGTGGAGAAAGGGAATAACTCTGAAGTAAGTGGTCTATATGAATGTTAGTATAAGAACAAATTAATGGTCACAACATTCTTGAAACAATTTTAAACTTTGCCTTGATGAAATCATGCTACATAAAATGTAGAATTTTTATCATTTATTTTAACATTAATCATATATAATATTGCAATTGTAAAAGTTTTTTTTTACATGGAAAGATGAATCCTTTTTGCTGGCTAATTCTAAAGCATGCCACCTGACACAATAAATCTACTACAGTTCATGTGAAGCCTTGTGTAGAGAAACACAGAGATTTTTTTCTACGTATTTTCCATTTACTTCTAATCACTGTTTAGATATGTTCCTTTTAAGATGTCTGAGAAAACAAACAAACAAACATGCTGAATATTCTGATTGTGCAACACTCAGAAATATTTTCATGACAGGAATAAAAGATAGTCAATTGAGCCAGTATATGTTTCAGTGTATGTGTATGATTTCTAAGTCACAGGCTGATGTTTATGTCCTTTTCAAATATATCTCAGTCAGTTTATGCTAGCAAATTTTTATGCATCATCAAAATCATCTCCACTTGGATTAAAATCAGTAGAGAAAATCTGAGAATCAAAAAGTGATGAATAATAAAAGAGAAGTGCTTATATATGGCCCTTGCTTTGTAAAAGTCTTCCTAAGATGGTGCTTCTGAAAAGCAGGAATTTTCTTTTTCTATGAGATGCAACTCGACTCTTGCCCTTGTCTTCTGATTGCCTTTTATTTGTCTGTAGCATCTTCAGACTCAGACAATGCAGTATACTGTCATTGCATTTTTATTAAAACAATTGACTGGTGAGGTGGTCCATTCATACATACATACATACCTACATACATACATACATATATATTTATTTATTTCCATTTCTACTATTCCTTGTGACCCTTTTAAGAGAAAGAAAGTATCCATTATTAATGCCACACGTCTAAAATCCTTGGGTGCAGGCATAAACCCTAGATTAAGATTTTTCTAACATTTGTTGAAATTTTATACTCTGAATAGTCTGTGTAGTTCTCAGACTTCATGCAACCATGAAGAAACTTTGCATGGCACTTCTTTGGTTTAATGACAAACTTTTATTTTTATTGCTTGCAGTTGGATCCTTTATATGCATGTCTGAAACATGCAAATTTGAAAACTAGATAATAGGAATAGGGATTTTCTATTGCATCCAATTATTTCTGAATAAACTATTTAGTACACCCTGCTGTTAAGATCAGAGAAAATTATATTTTATGTAATTTTCACATCCAGCTCCTGAATAATTATTTCTGAAATTCTTTACTCTTAGCATGGAAAGACTGGTATGAGAAGGTAACATTTAATTTATACATAGGCATAGAACATTAAAGAAGGATTAACTTCTATTTAAAATATATGAATCACCTTGATGACAGAAAGAAAATAATCTGTAACTGCAGTTTTAATGTTTATATACTGTTCTCACCTGAATTAAATTTTAAATTTGCCTAGCTAATGTGGATTTAGTTTGCAGTCGTATTTTTTATTCCCTGTAAAAGAATACAAAAATATCTATATTCTGCTCACCATCTAACAAAATAGGAAGTCAGAACTGTCTAAATGCCAACCAGAATTCCACTGACAGTTCATGGGATTTACCCTTCTTCGGTCACTTCTTAATCACTACCATCCTTTTGAATACATGTGAAGAAAAATCTTTGCATGAGATCCACAATAGGCAGCAGTTGTAGCTGAAACACATGCAATTTCTGTATTTGATGATATGGATTATATACTACATTCAGCACTCAAAACTCATAGGACTATTTTAGTAAGTTGATGCCCACTCAGCAAACCTCTCAGCTCTCCTAAAATATGTCTGAGGAAACAAGGAGAAAAAGATAGGTAGTTGAGATAAAGATGAAGTCAGTTACAATTATTGTCATAGGCAAAAAAATTTGGGGAAAAATAAATTTATTTGTTAATTAAAGTAGGAAAGGATAGTGATGAGAAAAAGAAAACAAAACAAAACTGAACTAAACTAAAGGAACTCTTCCCTCCCACCCAACATGTCACAGGCCACCCACCCTGCAGACTTCTTCTACCAACACCACCTAATTATAGCCAATAGAGTAGCAGTGTATTGTAATCTTAAGAATAGGTGACATATCAAAGGATTCCAGTAGACAAAATAAATTTAATTCTAGTCTGTGTTAAACTTAACAAGGATTCTCTTTCAAAATGAGATTTTGTGTCATTCTAAAGCATGTGTTGCCTACTATATGATATAAACATTATATATTGTGAATTAATATTTCATTTGCTTTACTTTCCAACAATAGACTGAGTTCAGGATTTTTCTTATTGTATCATTGCTGTTGATCATGACATACTTCCACTCAAAGCAGGGGATAAATGAATAAAAATGTAATCAAATTTAGTTCCAAAGTTTAGTTCCAAAGACACTGCCATTCTCTCCAGCTGTTTTCATTACACTAGGATACAAATAAAAAATCAGAAATAAAAAATACTAGGATACAAATTTTTAAAAAAAGTCTGTAAACAAATTTAAACATAATGATTGTGAAGTTATTCACTAATGGCTAAACAATTCTAATCTGAAAAAAAGCATCTCTGTCATGACAGACGTTATCTTAGATGGGAAGACAAGTAAATAACTGGTCTGCTTTTTATTTCTGAAAGTGTTGAAATTATGGAACCACATCATTACTGTCCTGTTTCTAGTTAACCAAATGCAAGTCAAGTATAGACCTTTTTGTTTTATTGGGCTGCTGTCAAGGTACAAAAGTGTGCATAGTTCCTGATGTAGTATCTTTGTGACAGGATGTGATATGACATAAAGTCTTATTATCCATGGATTCTGTTTGATTGTGGCATACATATAGATTCTAATAACTTGTAAAGGGAGTCAAGTATGATTTACAGATGGATGTTTTAAACACCTGCAATCTGATAGACCAAAGCCACTTAGATTTTCAGTAGTTTGAAGTTGGACATGAGAAATGGGAAATTTTCTGCACAGACGTTATGTTCCTTATGTTCCTCCACAGCTTGAGGAGGAGCATCAACAATCCACCAAAAAATACCCATGGAAGACTAAGTTGTAGAGATGTGGTCCCACCAGAATGCCATCTTCACAGAAGAAAAAGAAAAGATGTAATGCACGCAATATATTTGGCAGATTCCTGTGTCTAAGAGTCTTTATTCTCAGCTTCAAATCTCTTTTCTGGCTTGTTCTAATATCCTTTGCTACGAGTTTTCCCTTTTAGTGTGTGGGCCTAATCTGATACAAAGATTTGTTAGAGAGGTCAAGTGTAGAGTTAGTAGAAGAATGGAACACAAAGGTGGTAAGAAGGATGAAAGAAAAAATAATGTGAAAATTTGTACTGCACATTTGTAAAGAAAAATGTTATTTTCAGAGCCATCAGAATGTTGTCAGCTTTTATGAGCATATAAAATACAGAAAGAAGTAGAAGAATCATCTGATTTTGAAGACTTCCATGTATATATTTTACTATAAATAAATTAATAGCATTTTTCAATTTAAACACATTTAAATTAAGCAGTTGGTTTCTAAGAACAAATTTTACAATGAATTTTTTCCTTACAATTTCACCGTGCTCATTGTCATCCAACTAGTAGGTTAATTATAGATTTTTTTCATACAGTGAATCTTGTGTCGTACATTGCAGA